TGCAGGACTGGGCAGTGATGCATTTTATTGTGCAGAATGGATTCAACGGCACTGACAGCAACAAAGTAGAAAGGATATTTTTAGGAGTCTGGGTTGCTCAATTGGTTTTGCTAAGCTGCCAACCACCAAAGGTTGTGAGTTTGAATCCACTCGGGTTCTGTGATTACTTCTATAAAGATGACAACCAAGAAAGCCCTATGCAGCAGTTGGTTCTGTGTGACACACAGGGTCACCGCGTGGTGCAGAAGTTGGAATAGAATCTAGGGCAATGAGTTGTAGCGTGTGTTTATGAGTTTGCAAAAGTATATACTCTAAGAAGACCATTTAGAAAACAGGAAAAAAATTGTAAAGTCACCTCTATTCTTACTCCTCTTTAGTTTCCTTTCCCTTTTAATGTTAAGGTGCTTAGTTTTGAAAAAGAATCCTTGTAATCATGCCTTACATGCAATTTGCCATTCTGTGCTTATCAGCTTCCACCGTAAATATTTCTCCGTGTTACTGCACAGTTTTCATGACCAGCAAATAGCCGGTCATTATTTGCTGAACAATGTTCCATTGTTGGACATTTAGGCTAACAATTTTTAGCTGTCCCATGTAATTATTTTGAACAAATGTTCCTAAGACACCCATTGTGTGCCTACCTTTCATTCTTTGATCAGCTTTGTCATGTGTTTGAGCCTCACAATCTAGAGAACGATTCTGAGCTGACATTTCATTGTGACGCCACAGTCAAAGTGTGTTAAAGTAGCGTCTCTTTTCTAATTTGACTAATTGTGTGTTAGGTTAAGGTTGGTACAAGGAGACAATGTGTGCTGTGGCAGTTTTGTTACAGCCTCAGCAGTGTGGTTCTCTACTTTTACACCACAATTCATCCTGTATATTCAAAGTAAAGCACTGCATGTTTTTTAATAGGCTGATCAGAGGATTGGTTTTAGATCATGGTGCCCGCCATCCAGATATGAAGAAGCAAGTAGAAGATGCATTTATCCTCACTTGCAATGTGTCACTTGAATATGAAAAAACGTATGTATGCTAGTTTTTCTTCATAAAATGTTTAAATTTCTCCCCTAAAAGTGTTTTTGATTTCCTCTCCCCTCCACCTCTCCGTCTGCCTTTATTAGCTTGTTTTTATTAATCCTTCAGAGAGGTGAGCTCTGGCTTCTTTTATAAGACTGCAGAAGATAAAGAGAAATTAGTCAAAGCTGAAAGAAAGTTTATTGACGATAGAGTACAAAAAATAATAAACCTCAAAGACAAAGTCTGTACTAATTCCAACAGAGGATTTATTGTCATTAATCAAAAGGTAAGAGCGTTTTCATTTTAATTACTTGTGTGAATGTTCAGTACTTCTCAAACTTGGGCCCCTAACTGTCCCCAACACGTTGTTTGGCCTTCAGACCACTTTATTAGGCCCTCATCCAGACGTCATAGCACCCCACAGTTCAGTCACGTCAAGCAGTGTTGTACAGTCGCTGCCACAATCAGTGTAAAACCATTTGCTTCCTTCTTGTACTCCTTGTACAGCTCCTCCTTAACCACCTACCCCCCCTCCCATGCCACACCCCCAGGAAGCCTTAGTCTACTTCTTCTCTTTATAGAATCACCCCCCCAAAACCAGAAAAAGTACATCACAGATAGTCAAGAAGGCGACCAACAAGGACAAAACACGACAGAGATAAAAAAAACACCACAGACAACATTAAAAACCAGATCAAGTCCAAAATGTATCCCAAGGGAGATCAAATGACAACTTTTTGAGACTTCCATCTCCTCTTCCCTCGCGGGGCTCTCCAAACAAGACCCTCACTCTTCCAAGATGTCTCCAAACTCTGCCAGCCCAATTAGCAAGAAATGTACACTATCTTGTAAGACCCTGAATTACTACCTGCAGCTGTGCTGTCCCCCAACCCTGTTACTGCCAACCAGATACAAAGGTACCTGGAGCAGGCCGG